CAAGAGCAAATTCAAACTTAAAGCCTCAAGGCATTACAGACTCCCATTGTATAACCAAATATCAACTATTAAATTTTCAAATGCAATTAAGTTAATGATAATATGATAAATGATAATACAGCATTATTTTACAGCATATCTAAGTCAAATTACATAGTATCATTAGTTTAATTAGAGTACAAAAATCTGGCAGTTGATATTTGGCTATTAATATATCAGGCTTGGTTATTGTTTATATCTACTATATAATCATCCAAGTAAGTGGCATCACTAATAATTTTGACAAATGAGTCACTAAATTATTTATCAGATTATATAAAGGCTAATTTAATTCATTTAGCAATACTAATTCAATTGGTAGTTGTATACATTTGTTGTTAACAAATAAAATTAACAACATTGTTATACATTGTTAATTTTATAACTAAATAATCAATTTTTATATAAAAATCTATTAATTGTTATATACATTATAAAATAAATACCACTTCTTTTTGAATCAAAATTCTAATACTTTTCACATATTGAAATAATTATGACTAATAAAATTAAATTCAATCTGCACTTCTTTATCTCTGATAATAGAAATATATAAAAATGTAAAAAGTGAACTAATTGTTTAAAAAATTTTGAATTTCATTAAACATAGTTTATATATGCTGCCATTATGATACCAAATACATTGTCAAATCGACTATTATCAGATTTGTAAGTCAAACAGTTAGAAAAGAATACAGTACTAACAATAAAATGACTACAAAAAAGAGTTAAAGAATGACTAATAGATTTCTAATATCAAAACCATAAAAAACAGTGAAGCTGATACAATGCTGATCAACTTCTTGATAAAAAAGTGTTTTGGCGTGAGTTTTTATTTATTTATCTATTTCTATAATGCTGATCAACTTATCTTGTGAAAAAAAAAAGTATCTTATCAAGGTGGCAAAATTTGATGTCAGGAATTATCACTCGCTATCTATGCAATCATTCAGCTCGAAATCTTCCATCTTATGCTATATAAAATTAGTAGTATTTTTTTAAAATATATCCTATTTTATTTTAAAATATTGCTATTGTTAACATTAATCAAACCAATTGTTGAACATAAAAAAGAAATAAAATATAATTTTCAAAACTTTAATAATGATGGTGTAAAGACGTAGATATGAGGTCTCCAACAGTCCCCTTGTGAATATTTTTAAACTATCCACAGCAAAAGTTATGGCCCATCACTTCCACACACATTTGCATTTACAATATAGTGATGCAGAAAAATACTTTCATGAGATGATTGTGAATAAATAAGAATTTTTCAGGATTATATTGTATCAAGTATCAAAATTGTAACCATTGAAAGTGTGTTTAAAAAAGTTTGATTTGTACATTGCCAAACTGTAAATATTTCTGAAAAGGCAACAATATATTTAATAAGAATCTATATCCACATCAGTTGGAAAAATGTCATTGGAAAGAACAAAGAACTTTGGATTAAACAATACTGATCTAATTTTTTAACCTGTTTCAAGATCTGTAATCACAATCAATACAATTGTGAATGTATGAGAAATGACCCATAATCAAACAGTTTAACTAGACTATGCATGCTGCAATCAAACTAAACGTTCTACATTTGTAAGCTTATAAAAATCACATTGTGTGTTCTAAATACAATTATGCATTAAATTAAGCCCAAATTATAAATTAATCAAATTATAATAATTGTTCAGATGAATCAAGTAATATCATTTATTCTAAATGTAATTTTAAAATTAAATTTAACCATAGATGACTGTATTTTGTTAACTTAAAAGCTGCAAGTTGCAACCTAGCCAGGTTTCTATATCCATTGTTCCCAAATGTCTTGTAAGTTATGAAAAGTGATAGTTTTGTTTTTATTTCATAACAATAATCATAAATTCTACCAATTCATAAATGACTGTGCTACAAAATATACCATACTCCCTCCACTTATGTGAGTAATTGGTTTCACAAAAGTAACACACAAATGAAAAGTGCAAAAATAGAGCCAAGGAAAATTGTTCCACATTCTCAAACACAGTACTTTACTCTTACTGGGGTAGAAAACTTTTAAAATTTTTTAAATATACATCTATATAAGAGGTTATTGATCATGAAAAACATATTTTTTGATGTAATCATCTATTTCCATAAAGTTGATTACTTAAACTTTTAAAATTTTTCAACTGCATTAAAGTAAATTTGTATAAACAGAAAGATTACTGTATAGGGCAAACAGATAGTTATTGGCACATATCAGAAAAACCTGTGGAAATTTTGCTATCTACTGACAACAAAAACTTGTATAATACTGTCATGCAATATTTCCAGAATAGCTTTTATAGAACTCTTATTAAAGAGATGTAAATCTGAAATGGGCAATTACAATACCATTTATCCTATCAACAATTAAAAAATATAAAATATTGTTACACTGAATGCTGCAATTATGTGGATGCCAACAGGAAAACAATTGTATATCCATGAATAAAATTCAAATTTTCCAACTGACCATTTTATATTAAGTTATATTACATTGTTGATTCAAAACATACCTTAAATGTGTAGATACTATATTTAATAATTAGTAAATTATTCGTTATTAATTAGTAAATAATTAGTAAAATATATAGCATCACTATTATATATCTACAATTAAATTTTAATAAACTTTTATGATCGCTTACATCTGTATTTTAAATGAATTAAACCAGTTATTCAAGTTAATCCAAATTTATATTTATTCCTACAAATAAAAATGATTATTCCTTTGAAAATTAAAATGTATTTCATATACATTAAAATATAATACATAAATTTATTTAAATTCATCAAAAATAATTTTATTTTGAATATTTAAACAGATAATATCCAATTCCAAGACTTTTCAACTCTTATTAATTAATAGTAGCTAGGAGCAATCTCACAGAGCAATTAAGACATAGTATTAACTATACTACCACCTTTTTTTTTCAGGTTGATAACTTAGATTTGGTCATTTCTGTATAAACTTCTCTCCCCATCCTATATTACAAAAAGATGTCTTTTCATGTGTAGAATATACAAATATGTAGCAATAATAATAAAAGTTATGCTTTCCATTTAATAGCGAAAAAAACACTCGTGTATTTTATGATCTTTCTACAAATTTACATAAAAAATGCAAATATAAACATAAAAAATCAAGTTAGATATGGAAATCTAAAAATTATACATAATTTATTTCTATAAAAAACATGAAAATATATGTATAAAATAAGTGCTAATGGCAAAAGCAAAAATAAAATATATATATACTTATATAAGTATGTTTTAAATTAAGAAAATAAAATTGAAAAAACTTCTTTATTATTCTTTAATATTCATAGTATCCTAGTAAAAAAATATTCTGATTTAAATAAAAAAAAAATACAAAGTTACTACAAAAAAAAATTATTTAATGTCAAACTTAACAGTGCATAAAATCACATAATTCATACATCTACAATAGGCCACATTATATTTACCAAATTATTATACTATAAAAAGTTATTGTAAATAAGAAATTTTAATTGACTATTACCAAAAACTAATACTACCACCAAGCTAATAGTTTATATCAGACATGCAAAATGTGTAAGTATCAATAATTACATGCATCACAATTATCTACTACTTATATACAGGTTATCATCTTGCAACAACACGACAGATGTTTAAAAGGATATGAGCAATACGACAGAGAAGAGATTTAGATAAAATGCTAAAAAATTTGCTGGTAATTGTATTTGATTTTTTTATTTATTTAATTTCTCAATTATAATGAAAAATATTCCAAATCTAAGTTTATATTTATACAAATGTTTCATATTTTTAAAAGCTAATAATTTTCTTTTTTTTTTTTTTATCAGAACTTTTATCAAGCACCATAAAAACATTAACGGTAATAAAACTGACAATGTGTTAAGTATTTTAAGATTCCAATATCACATAAAATGTCAAATCCACAATATTTCATAATACTATTTTTCAAATTATATAAATGTTTCATCAAATAATACATTGTACGATACAGAGAAATCTTATATAATGTCAACTCTTACATTTATATAAGATCATTTACTTTTAAAGTAGACTGAAATAAATTTTCCTATAGATAATTTAATCAAAAATATGAATCAGTGTTTGATTATATTTTTAATTAAATAATTTTATTTGTTAAGTCTATCAAAGAAAAACTTCCTTATCAGAAAATATGAATTTATAATATTGATAATTAGAGAACTTTAAAACACTCCTAAGAGAAAATGCATATAAATTTGTATATACATTTTATGCGTGTATAGAATATATGTAATTATTATATATTATATGATATATCACATAGTAGAAAGGTATATCTCTAAAGCAGGGCCATGCAGATTTTCTCAGTACGATGAAAGTCTTTGAAATGCCACCCCTTAAATGCCGCTCCCTTACGGTGCCACCCAATGCGGTCACCTCTCCGTATCATGGCACGGCCCTGCTTGAAAGGGCCATATGTAGGCCATTTCTTCTTTTGACTTTTTTATTCCTATGGGTATGGTCTACAGCTCTGGTAAGGGCCCAACCTTATCAGGGCTGCAAATTTGAAAGCTGCAATTTTACCATGTCCTAAAGCTAACTTCAACCAAATGAAATATACAAATTAGTTTAAATTTAAATAAATTTAGGAAAATAAAAACTTATAAATCTACATATTTATAATTTTTAATTAATTATTTAAACATTTTTGCTTCCTTTCATTCAAAAATAAACTTTGATTATCAACGGAAATAGAGATTTAATTGGTAAAAATGAGAAATTTAGTAAGAAAAAACTTCATTTTTTATGTAAAATTGCGCCTTAAATACTATTTAACCTTAATTTTACGTTCTTAAGCATAATATAATTTGAAAATTGCATTTATAAATCATTCCCTTCCCTTCCTATAATATTAAAATGTATACAAAACGTTGGCTTACCGCTTTGAGTGCGGCTAAACGATCTTTGGTCATATTTTATGTTATAATATATTCCTTCGTATTCATATAACTTATTAATATCATCACTAACGGTTATACAGCACTACTTTAAAGTATACTTTCTCCTAAATTCAAATTAACACCTCTGTCATCGATCATCAGACACATCCAACTTTTCTTCCTCTCATTTTCGATCGAAGCGTCCTCTGCCGATTTAAAATGTTTAATAATCTCATATTTTATTTATTTTTTAATTAATTAATTGCTTTTAATAAATAATGTAAAGTTAAATGCTAGAATGTTTTTTTTCCTAATAAATTTTTAAGCTATTTAATAATATATTAATCTTTTTAACGTTTTAATAGCTTTCCTAAAGTATTATATCAAATGATTATAGTATTTTAATTTTTAAATTTAAATTTATAATTGCTGAAGTATTTTAAGTTTATTGTTATTTATTACATTTTTATGAAAATGTATTACAATAAAATTTTTATAATTTATAAGATCAATCAAAATTCTAAATTTATTTAATTTATTTAACTGAAAATAAAGAATGAGGCCCGATGTATCGCGGACAGACCACCCATGGCTCACCTGTGACCGAGTGGATTAAACCACTGAATACTGATAGTTGGTCGTGGGTTTGCACCTTGCAGAGTAGTTTTTCGGATTTTTCTACATGTTTGTAATACTTAAATAAAAGGCAGTTTCCCATAAAAGACCTACTGGGAAGGCATACCTCCTCGGCAGATCGCCCACGTGTGGCGTTGCCGTAACCAAATAAGCCAACTAGGCCCATTCGTAAAAACTTTTTTAAGTTCCTGACCCTAATTTGAACCTAGTATAGCAGCCATCTCCTCGGTCATCCGGTTTAACATCTATTAATACAAACACAGCTCGTTTACAAGAAAACAGTTATGATACAAACGTAAGAACTCAAAATAATCTTAAGGTTCTGATAATGAAGGTTTTGAACAGTTGCAGTCATTGGAGATTATCCCTGAACTAATAAATGTTCATATTAATAATATATTTAGTACTTTTACCTGCTTGTTACAATTTTTGGCTTCTAAAGCAGATTTTTATTTTGAAAATATCTCTTAAATCGAGTTTACTTGAGAACAATACAGAAAAACTTCTGTTGATAACCAGACTATTGAATATAAGTATGAATTTATAAATCTTGTGGAATGGATCATTGTTTACAGTGATCATAACACATTGAAAATTTTTTGTCTCGGGCTTCCGAAATAGGATTTCCAAAAATTTCAGGTAGAGATGAACATTATACGGACAGTTTTGACATTCAAATACGCAAGGCCATTAATCAAGAATTGCATTCCGTTTCTGTCTTTATTCGCAATACTGGGAATAGAAACGGAAACGGAATGATTCGTTGTACTTAAATAATCACAGATTTTTGCAGGATCTACTAGCTCCACTGAACGTTTTATTTTCGTTGTGCCAATATTATCAACGTATGTGCACAACACTGCTTTTACACAAAAGTTGCACACACTTTTACATAAAATTACACAAAATCCATACAGTGATATAATCGCAATGCTTGTGATGTTGTATAACTGTTTTGTTTTCACATGTTACTATCGTTATTGCAAAATATTATTTTTTAGGTCTTTTCGTCCTGTGAGCTCTAAGAGGGCTATGTAAAACAGTTATTCATTTAACTGCATGCCTTATTTTAAGTGTGAAGAACTGTAAATTTAAAATACAAGCCTTCTTTTAATTGTTATATACTGTATATATAGGGAGAGACTGGTACCTGGTACTCAGTGAGACAATGCGGCTTACTTCAAATTTATGCGGTTTTGAAGAACCAATTTATCTTCAAGATAACTGTTATAATTGCACCCATACACAGTTAAAATTATTTTTATAAGGATAGAAACTTTCACAGTAAGTAAGATTTCTTTTGTTTGTAAATCTTCAAAGTAAATATTTGGAGTACAACTTCAGTGCTATAAAATATACTGACGACTAAAACTTCTGTTTCATGTGATATATCAGTAAAAGTATGATTTTTAAGCTGTCTTTTCGCTCATGAAACTGCTTTTTCAGTGTTGCGGGATTAGACATATACCACTTTATACTGTCTTCTACAAGAAGTCATATTTCATCGAAGTATTTCAGAGTTTTTCTAAAGCGACAGCCAAGAAATCAAACAGGACTACCAGAAGGAAAAAAAGGACAAAGTGTGATCATGATTGACACTCCAATAAAAACAAGAAATCTGTAAGGCTATGGAGCAAAAGTAACAACGTAATAATCAAACGAGAAAAGTGCTTACAGCAGATTCTTAATTAATAGGTCTAGTTCCAATAGTAGTGACACTGATTATCTTATACAGAAATCAAACAGTGATTTTGTTCCTCTTCCACTGCAATCAGATTTCTTTGGGGAACTAGATGGAGATCCTAAGGAAGAAGACTACGAGTTTCCTGTACAAGATACATTATTTTGGAAAAATAACCAAAGGAAATGATAATACAGGCATACCTCGACTTACGTCGGTTTCGAGTTACGTCGTTCCCGATTATACGTCGCTTGTTAAAAAAGTATATGGAAAAATAAAAATCAAGTTTAAGTCATTTTATTCGACTTTACGTCTGTCCGCCACAAATATTGAAGTCGTAATATCACTAGATAAACGTTTAAAGCACATAAAATCATATTAAAATATATACAA